GGATGCTTGACCAATTTAATACAACGTGATGCGATCATCTCCTTTGCACGGAGCAAGGGTTCTCGACCCCGCACAACATGATGTACTCGACTACCATTATGGCCACAGCAAAAAAAGGACACGAAAACCTCGGGCGTCCTTACGGTAGAGAGAGGCGCTGCGTAGTGGTGCTGTAACGCCGCAGGTGTTCAGAAGCCGAAATCAAACCATTAGAGACTACTCAGCGCTGATTAACCAGTCAAATGCTTCGATTTCGGCTTCTGGAAGTACCCAGCGCAGCGCTTTGAAGACACAGCAAAACACGCTGACTAGTAATCTAGAGGTTTGATTTTGATTTCGGCTTTCAGCAAGCGCCTGACACAGCGTTCTAAAAACTCAACAAGCAAACACACAAAAAAACACGCCCCGCAGCACTACAACAACCCCCTGTATCATACCTTCGCCCTCCCCCTGGCGTCGAATAGGATGTTCGACGACTTGAGGTCCCCGTGCACGAACGCCTTGCTGTGCAAGAACGTCATCCCCTCGCAAATATCCCTCACGATCTGCCTCAAGACCCCTTCCTCCAATGGCCTCCTGAGCTTCCTGAGCTTCAGCAGCAAGTCACCCCCGGGCATGAATTCCATCACCAGCACCATCTGGGAATCGGGGCAAGGTGCAAGAGCAAAAGGCTAAATAAAACACGCCACACAAGAGAGGACGGCCGCCGTCTGCTACAATACCAAGATGAGGTGTGCTTTGTTTTCCTCACGCACACTCGGATTTCCACCCAAGTTCGGTGCGTGCCCGTAAGCACACGGCGATCGTTGGAAACTACACGGAGGTATGTGTCGAAAAGGGGAGGTCCAACGAACGACGAAATAGGGTACAAAAAGCAAGAGAAGATATTGTATATGGGAGATGGTCAACGGGAAAGGTGTTTACATTCCGATTTTCGTGGCGTGCTTCGATGGCGGACAACACAAAATTTGCCCACGATACGGGAGGAGGCACAACAAGAAAGATGGACCATGGAAGTGGGTTGATTCTCGTTTGATTCGAAGCACGGCCGAACAGACCCGGAGCATCCCATGAGAATCTCGATCGAATCCACACATCACACACATACGTACGCACCCGGTCCCTCGCGAGCGCGGTCACCCCCCCGTACGTGTGCACCGTGCGGGGCCCCCTGAGTCGCTTCATGTACTCCAGCTCCTGGCAGAGCGCCTGCCGCTGCCGCGCCTCCGCCCTGGCCAGAGCTGCGGATCTCTTCGCCTTCGCCACCACCGCCCTCCTCCTCGCCTTCTGGTCCGACGGCTCCACGATCCGCAGCCGCGGCAGCAGGTCCACGGCCCGGTCTCCGGCCATGCTGGGGCTCCGGTTGTCGTGGACGGCGGCGACGGCGACGGGCGGGACGGGCGCGCTGCCGCTGCTGATGTTGCCGTCGTTGACGCTGTTGTTGCAGCCGGTGTCGATGGAGGCGTCGTACTCGACGTCATCGTCCTCGTCGCCGTCGCCGTCATCGGCACGTGAGGCACCGTCCTCGTCGCCGCCGCAGCCGTGGTCGGCGGAGCCGCGGGGGAAGGTGACCACCTTCGCGGCGGCGTTGAGGCCGCCAGCGAGGTCAGCGAGGAAGACCGTGCCGAAACCGCCGAGCCCGAGCACCTCGTCCTCCACGATCTCGAGGGAGGAAGGGGGGATGTCCACCTCGTCCAGAAGAACCGTCTGTCGGTGTCTCCGCTTCCGCTCGGCCTTCGCAAGAATCACCTGCGGGCGATACAGGCGAAACATTCCCGCAACGCGTAAAAGAGTGGGGGTACAATAACTCTAAGCAGTGTTCGTTCATCACGAGCGGTGGCTTGGACACACGCTGGTGGGTCATTTTTGGTTCTTTTTGCCTCCTGGGCTGAGCCTAGCGCGATGAGACAAGCATGGATTGTTTGTTCATCACGAGCGGTGGGTTGGAAACGCGCTGGGTGGGTTTTTGTTGGCTCTTTTTCGCAACTGGGCTGAGCCTAGCGCGATGAGACAACCATGGATTGTTCGATGATCACAAGCGGTGTGTGGACAGTTATACTCTTCTCTCGGTTCCGGGCTGGGCTTAACGCGATCCTACCGCTCGTACGTCAGGATGAGGAGGGGTTCGTTGCCACACGGGCAACAGCGAAATAAAAAAACAAGACCTGCGTTCGGGTTCTCGATCGTCGTATATCCGCACAAACCAACCAAGCTGCCCCACGATGATTTCGAAACCCCTTCACAGCATCTAAGAACACTACTACCTTGCCATCCACAACACCCAATAAAAAGACTGTCCGTTCGAGATGATATTGTACGCCGTTTGCAGGCATGAGTGTGCATTGTTATTTCTAGCATCCACGGCACTGAGCGGCTGACCAATGAAAACACGTCAGTGCCAGCGGGTAAGCAAACTCAAGGTCATTGGAAGGGGCCCAAACTCGAAAAAAATCATTCTCACATGTGTGTGTATGTTTGGCCCCTACAGTAGACAAAACATGCGCCCGGAAACCCTTCTGATCTGACAGCACTAGCCTGCCGGTGGTGTTGGTGTTGTTGTTGGTGACCTATCTCACCTCCGACGTTTTCCTTTGGCTCTCGGAGTTATCCTGCCGAGCGGACAGCTGTCGTTGTCGTGCGTTATTTGACAACACCATCGTTGTCATATTCAGCGCACGTAAAAAAAACACGGCGGGCAGCGAGGGAGGGGGGGGGGGGGGTACTCATGTAAACGCATGCCATCGTTGTTAAGACCGTTGACCCGCAAACGCCCCAAGAGACTTCGCACGATGGCGAATTCGGGTCGGTCGACATATACTGTATATCCCCGTACTTGTGGCCATGGCACAGCTGTTGTTGTTGCGTCGGGCAGCAGTGGCACCGCAAGACCGCTCAGACCTCAAAAGACATCTTGCGTCTTGTCTTGTCGAAGAACTGCTGTGCTTGAGGCCAGAAGGTAGCAGAGGCCAGGTGGTCCTATCTATCAACTCTCTGGGTTTGTCGTGAGATGCAACAAAAAATATACGCGCCCACAGAATTCAGCTACAGTGTGTGCGTATCGAACAAGAAGCTACCTGTCATGCCGTCGGTGGGAAAAAATGGGAGAAAATTATTAACACACACGAAATCAAGGAGAAAAAAGGCAAGAGAAAAAAAAGAACGCAAAAAAAGAGGCAGAAAAAGGATCAAGCGTGTACCTGCCATGGCGTCGGTCACAAGACAATCGGGGGAAGGCATCAAGACGCAGAGGGGAAAAAAAAAACACGATAATAGTATAGCAAAGGTTTGCTCTCACAAGGCGTTCGGCTGACAGGATCGCTTCGTCGGCTTCCTTCTGGCGCCGTCGGAACATGGTCGAGAAGAACACCTCCGACACGACGTGCTTGTTCTTGTACGAGTGCACGATCTCCACCATGCACGCAACGGGCTCCCGCACCGCCCCGAGAGCGACGCGTATTGCATCGGTGTCCTGCTCCGTCGCCTGCAGAATATTTGATCGGACGTGTGTAGTTTATGCATACATAGCCGGCAATAAAAATGAGCAATAAAAAGTTTAGAAACAAAGGCGAAACATGTGCAGCATGCATGAACCTGGGATTTTGCGTTGATGCCGTGCTCCGTCGACTGTAGAACTTGGTCGGACGTATGCATCCACAAAGATGACAAAAAACAAGCAAAAAAAAAGGTGGGAGACAAAGGAGAAACACATGGCCCTAAATAGGATTCTCCGCGGCCTGCAGAATTTATCGGACACATGTACATAGCCGACAAACACACAAAAAAAAACCTTCGAATTAGTCCTAGTACACAACGGAGAAACATACAACCCTCGGCTTATGATACCCTTACAAAAACCCTAGGCTTGTGAACATTCGGAGGTACAAGCGCCTAGAGACAAGACCGGCCAAGGTGGTGGAGGACAACAAAAACAACAACAGGAAATCAGTTGAAATAACTCCTCCCCCCCCCCCCCCCTGCTCCTACTTTCACCAGTTCTCCACCAACAACCCCCCCCGTCCCCCCTCCGCCTCTCACCTTTCCGAGCACCGCCAGGGCCCGCTCCAGAGTCAGCACCACCGACCGGCACCACCGGACCCTGCGCCGCTTATCCTTAGGGTCGCCCTTGTGGCTCGCGGCTGCCAGCCTGGCGAGCCCGGCGACCACGCCGGACACTTCCCGCGCTCCCGGCACGAACGTCTCCAGCGGGGAGAGAGACTGCGCCCCCGCAACGGCTCCCTCCGCCGCCTGGAGCACGGAAGACGCGGCGATGGAGGACGAGGAGGAGGAGGTGAAGCGGCCGGCCGTACGCCTGGCTCGGGCCTGGGGGTCGTCTCCCAGCGACCGGCGCCGGGGAAGGGGAGGGTTCTTGCCGTTGTTGTCGCGCGCGCGCGGGAAGTCGGGCGCGGACGACCGTCGTAACGCCTCCGCGGCGTCGGCCGCTTCACTGCCGTTCCCTAGCGGCCCGACCCCTTCCATGCCCACGGGCTGCGGGTACGTCCCGTTGCCGTTGCTCCGGTCGCCGAGGCTGTCGCTGAAGGCGCCGGTCGTAGCCGTGCTGAAGTCCGCTCCTCCGGCAACAACACCTTCGTTGTGCTGGTCGTGCTCGGTTGTTGTCGGTTCGTCCCCGCCGTCGAGGCCTTCGCTCCTTCCGCCACCGCCCGCCGGCGTCGTAGCTACCGCCTTCCGCGGGGAAACCCCGACCCGGCAACCGGCACCGCCCCCAATGCCGCTGTTGTCGCGAGCATCGCCGCCCACGCAGAAACCCGTGCCCCCGCCCTCCTTCACCTCCGCCCCGTAGTCGTCCTCGTCCATGTCGCCGGCAGCGCTAGGGCTCGCCGTAGCCGCCGCCACCGCCGCCACCGCCGCCACCGCCGCCGTCGACGTCCCGTGTCCCAGCTCCCCCTTAGGGGGAACCCGGAAAGCGTACAGAGGGTTCGCAAAGCGCGGGCCCATCCTGCTCCCGCCGAGTGTTGTGGCTCTGCTGCCGTCGGTACCGTAGCCGCATTCGCCGCCTTCGCCTCCTCCTCCTCCTCCTCCTCCTCCGCCTCCGCCACCGTTACCGCGGTCACCGTTGCCGCCGCCGTCACCGCCGCCGCCGCCGCCGCCGCCTTGTTCCAAGTCGAACTCCCGCTTACGTTCGGAGGCGTTCCAGGCGGTGCTCCCCTCAAACGGTGCCGCCATGAGGGCGAGCGAGACCGACCGCGAGGCATTGGCAGAAGAGAGGGAGGAGGAAGGCGGGATCACCTCCCGCTCGTTGTAGCGCCCGCCACCTGCGCCGGCGCCGGCGCCCCCGCTACCGTTGCCGCTGCCGCCGCCGCTGCCGCCGCCACCGCCACCGCCGACGCGCATGCCGCTGCTGGCCCTCTTCCTCCACGTGGCGATCGTGCTGCTGCCGCCGCCGATGCCGCCGCCGGTGGCGTTCCCACTCCTTCGTTTTCTTTTCCTCCGATCCCGCTTGGTGTTCTTCTTGCGCAGACAAATACAGCAGCACGGCCCCGCCGCGCGACAAAAGCGGCGACTCCGAACGCGATGGCAACCACAGTTAGCGACGATTTCCCCCCCCCCGGATGATTCTTCCTCCTCCCCGCCCGCTGCCGTCGCCGAAGACGCCGCCGATGCGGTAGAAGGGGCTATCGTTGCACCTCGCTGGTGGCGGAGGGGGCGCCGCCGAGTTTGTGGACGCACTCGCTGTGTGTAGGGGGGGGGGGGGTTGCGAGGAGGATACAAATCAAACAGCGGTGACAGGTTAGGAGAGCGTGGAAAACGATCGGGATGTCATCCTCAAAAGCTCTCGCTCGCGATACTGCTGCTCAGCCCAAAGCGGTTCCCTTGGAAAATCGCCCAGTTGAGGGCCGCAACAGCTCTACGTAGAGCGCTGAACGGATCATCCCCACCCCCCCCCGCCGTCCTGTCTCAGTTGTCTCACCATGGCAAACGAACGCCAACACCAGAAGCAACGCCCAGGGCGAGTGCGATTCGAGCCCATGCATCGACGGCTTTTCCATACGCCAGCTTCTGATTGGTGGAACGTGACCTCCCCAGCACTCGAAGACACCTACAATATGCAATAGCGGGTGGGATATGAGCATCAGCAATGGGGCAGGGATGGGGTGGGGTGGGGGGGGGGGGGTGTACTCATAGTCGTGCATGCCGTAGTCGTTAGACCATTGACCTCGCATCCCCACAAAGCCGGGACGGAGCACGCCGGGTTCTCACCGGACCAAGCTCTCACATCACCAAGCGCGAAGCGCCGTGAGGTATTCGGCGAGTCGCATGAAGGGTGAGCTGCATCCTGCTAAGGGTGTTCGGCATCTTGTGCTTACTTCCTTGCGTACGAATGACAGCTGCGTATGACTTAATTGATTTTCTGGTGCTTTCACTTCCAGAGACAGTTGATAAGCACTGTGTAACTGCCTCGAGGATGCTTGACCATTTTAATACAACGTGGTGCGATCATCCCCCTTGCGCGGAGTGAGGGTTCTCGAACCCGCACAACATGATCTACTCGACCACCATTATGGTTACCGCCAAAAAAAAAACAGAGGTAAAAACAAAACGGTACCCTGGTTGCCGAGTTCACGAAGTGAATTGGCTTGTTTTACAACGTCGTTGCCAAGCGATGAAAACCCAATCCCGATGGCAAACACCGAGGGGGGGGCTTGTTTTACAATGTCGTTGCCAAGCGACGAAAACCCAACCCCGATGGCAAACACCGGGGGTGGGGTGGGGGGGGGGGTCTAAGGAGCGCGCGGCTGTGTATGCGAATCTTAACAGCAGGTCTTTTGTACGGGTTTTTGCTATTGCTGCTTCTGCTACAGCTGCCACTTCAGCAGCAGCAGTTGGGGTTATGGTTGTTCTTGTTTCATGAAAATTAAACCAGATGGTACCGAGGTGTCGGGACAAACGCCTTCTGACCCAAGTGATCAGCACCTTGGTGATACAAAAGGGGGGTCCCTGTTTAACCGGTATACCAGTATGCACCCAGAAAATTCACCAGCACTGATACCGGGCCGGCACTATTCGAAGTGCTGACAATGACTTGGAACTTCAGTCAGTGCCCGCCGAAGACACGGCATTATTCCGGGCATTGGTACCATCCAACCGGCTTGCTCCTTGACGAAACACTACAGCGGCAGCAGCTACCGCTTGGAGGAGGAGCAATGCATGCTGCTGCGCGCTGATCACAGCAGCCGCAGCGGCAGCATCGACAAACCGGACAGCGTGTTTGGTCTCACCCACAGAGCCGTCGAAGCAACCACACACATCGGCCTCTCTCTCTCTCTCTCTTTCTCCCTCTCCCTCTCTCTCTCTTTCTCTGCATTTTGGTGGAATTGATGATGCCCCAAGGCGCGCGGGCGTCACTGCATCACAACCCTTTTCAACAGCTTCTGGACTTACTTTTTCCGGCAGGAAGGGAGGGGAATTGGCTGGAATTATTTTGCCCCAACCATTCCCCCAAGCCACCCGAGCTTTCCCCGGCCGTGTGGTTGAGATTTTCTTGCAACTGGTTTGACAACTGCTGTTGTGGGGCCAGATTCCCAGAAAGAAGCAGAATGGCCCACAAGGGTCTAGCATGTTCTTTGTTTCCTGTGGATTACTTACTATAGGCAAGCATTTTCTGAGGAATATATTTCCATGTCCGCCATGAGCCGGAAATACTTCCGTTGCCTCCGTACCGTGGTGCACACTGCTGTGATGAATGGGACGGGTTTAAGCCAACCCCTCACACACAAAGAGCAGAGGCTCATGCTCTACAGTAGTCGCGTTGGGAATGTGGCGCCGCACTATCCCTCTGGCCACTGCAGTCGTGTTCATGGATGAACCAGAGCGAGGATTGTACGGGAGGGGGAGGGGGGTGGTGGTCCGTACAAATCATAATGGAGGCAAAAAGGATGATACTGACAATTAACGAACAAGAACAACGTAAAGGCACGTTGTACTGGTTTGAATGTCTGCAACCTACACACCCTTTTGCCTCCCGTACAATAGCTCAACTTTGCGAAAGAATAACGCCGTCTCTGTGCAAACATATCCAACGGCACAAATAGCCTGTGTGGGTCATGACTCTGTACGTACGGAGGTCTACGCGTGCTTTTGAATGTGTGGACATAGTAACGCCAACCTTCGGAGATGGCTAAGACTGCCGCTAAATAGGGGCGCTGGGGAGAGAAAATCCTACTTCCAGCTGTCAAGAATAGTCCACCAACCGCACATGCGTGATCTAACGCTACACACACGGGATCAAAGCCGCTTGTTCGGTGTAGTCTGCCAACAGGATAATAATTCCGTTCCAATGAAAGTGCGGTATAGCGTGGCGCGTGGACTACACAAGGGACAATGCCATACATGTTCGCGGGAGGGAGGTGTGCTCCGTATGATAGTCCTTGGAATCTTCCAAAAAAGGAGAATACTCAGATACTTCCGTGCGGGTATGCATATCTATATGTTATAGGGTATCCACTATGGATTGACGCGGAATTTTGACCTTTGAGGATTGACGCCAACATAAAGTGACGGTTGAGGGTTTTGACGGGAAAAAATTCGCACCGCGTGTGCCCGTTGACACGTGAGAGGTGCAAAAAAAAAAAATGGTGGAGGTAGAGTTCAAGGTTGGTTCGGGCTGCCACCCAGGGTCGACATTCCGAAGCGAAGACTCACACCCCCAGGCTCCCAGGAGACTAGGTGTACCCCTTCGCCTCATCCCGCCGACCTTCCCTCCTTTGCCGCGGCGACTTTTCCCAGGCGTCAAACTGCGACTTCCCAGGCGTCAAACTGCCGTTCGTTGCTGATGAGTAAGGCAGCTGCTCGCTGCACTGCTGTGTATATACCGATGTCACTGCGGCAGCAGAGCACCGAACCCCGTGAGGGGGCGGGCGAAATGCACCTACTGACTGGCAAAGTCCGTGTACCCTCCCTTACTCCTCTCCATGTGCTCCCTTCGAGGGCGAGACTCCCCCAATCACTCCCCTGCCTATGCCCCTTTTTGCTGCTGAAAGCCCGTGCGCAATCGCGACGGCGCATCTACCGAACGCGCGCGCCGAACACGCGCGTCTGGCCACTTGGCCGCCGTGAGAACTGCCGAGACGCGTGGGTGCAGGACCGCTTGGAGCAATCAGTATAGGCATGGCCAATGTGTTCGCTGCTGACCGCGCACAGCAGACCGCAGCAGAGCAAGCGTGTGTGAGCCACAGCAGTCTGGCGATGTTTGAAGCGTCAATCTTTTCGCGTCGGTTTAAGTTTGGGTGAAATTTAATTTTGACGCTTCCTCACAAAAATTTCGCCGTCAGAGTTTGCCCCCAAAAAAGCGGCGCAACCTCTTCACGTCAAAACTTCCTGAAATGTCAATATTTCACGTCATTTCAACAACACGTGGATTCCCTCTGTTATAAACGGGTCCTCGCGCGGGCGGCCAGAGAATTCAAGACTTCATTAGAAAGTTGTCGTTCTTGGTCGTCTTCGCTTTAAGAACCGTTCCGGCCTCAGCTCAGTACCCTCTTAATGTCCGCAGCGTATGGTCCAACTGACGCGGGCGCTTTCCGTGGTCACAGCCAACTACCCAAAAAGGGGGTAAACCTTTCTTGCATACATACTTCGAAGTCATAAGCATAAAAATGGACCCAGAAGAACCAAGACGGAAAGAAGGGGCCGATATGGTACCCCTATCTTGTGAAGACAAGCAGACAGCCGTCGCAATGTGTACTGCTGTGAACCAACAACAGCAGTGCTCATCCCACCACCGGTGTGTGTGTGTTGTGCACACACGAGCGCTCCAACTACTCCAACTACGGTAGACCTGACAACAACACCACCTGGCGTTGCTACTGCTGTGTCTCCCTATTGTACAGCAGTTCCGACTATACTCATACGCAAGTCATCAGGCAGGGCAAGATTTCTCTTCCCGCTGGGGTGGCGTGGATATCAGCCTCTTTATACACTAGTAAGAATACAATCATTATCATTTATGTCATCATCCGGGGGGGTTTATTGGTGGGCGCGTTGCTGCTGACTGCTGACGCAGCTGGTGTTGGTTGTGGCATTGTCTCCGCCTTCGAAACCCGGTTCGAGCTCAAAGGTCCCTTCGTCCGTACATACCAACCGCCGTGTGTCTACGTAACTAGGGAGAAGATGGCTTGGAGGGTCGATTGTCAAAAAAGAACGTGTGTATTCTGTATTCGTCCCATGTGCGCGCAGCGCATATTTAGGCATCATAAAGCATAGAATACGTACGCGTTGAGAGGTGATGAAAAGTTCAAATCGGGGGACAGAATCTTAATTTTCGCCTCTCCTTCCTTGCGTCTTAAAAAAAGAACTGAACAACTGGACATGATGATTCCACGAGGAGACTAAATAGAAGCGCTACTGAAAGCAAAGCAACCGCTGCAACTCAAGGGAGGGAGTACCACAGCAGTGAACCAAAACTAAACCCGAGACGCTATGCCGCCAAACAAACCCGGTACATGCAGCATGCGAGCCGCCGGCCGGCGGGGAGCGCACCATCATCGGCCATTGTTTTCATTGTTTTGCCGGACCAACCAACATTTTTTTTTCGGTCAACTCTTTCAACTTCTAATTTAAATAAACGCTTTTTGGTGAACGCGCTTTGACTTGGACGAGTTGGGCCTTTCAAAGTTGTGTACCGTACCAAACATCATCATTATACTTGCCCAGCTCACGCCAGACAGTAGCAGGGCGATAGGTCCTTGGAGAGTGTACATATCCACGCCTCCCTACAATGCCGTTTGGTATCTCGCGTGTCCACTCACACGCCAGTGCCGTTGGGCGCGTAGGGAGAGGAAATGGATGGGAAAGCAGATTATTTTTTTACCTTGAGAACGACTGCAAGGCTTGTTTCGTGGTCTGAACGGACGGTTCAAAAAAACTTCGCTTTTCTCTCCCTGTGTCCGCCTCGGGGCGTTGGCTTCTTGCCTCTGCCTGAGGCCGCGGCCAAGGAATGGAAAGCATCGTCGAATCGAATGCGGCTGATATTGTGTACTCACCAGGAGGCAAAGAGAAGCGAGAGGGAGATAAAAAACGAACATTCGCAGGTGCTTGGTCGTGGGGGCGGCAACGGGCACGCGTCATATTTGCTCTTGCTTTCTTTTACAAAAAGAAGCGCGGGCTTTCACACACGAGAAACTCGTGCAAACATGCCTACTGCTGTAGCAAAGAGAAGCAAGGCCCGCTACAGCAGTACACACATCACATGTCTCCCCGAGCGAAAACTTGGGGCACCCCCCCCCGGGGCGCCAGACCCAGCAACACGGAAATCACCTTTCTCAAGCGAAGGCCCCTCGGAGGCGAAGCGTCCTTGCCTTCGTGTCGCGGCAAGAGGCGAGATAGGGTTGTGGGAACCCGACAATCTGACAAGAAGCGTCCCCTTGGCCGCGTCTCGCTAGCCCCTGGGCGGCACAGAACGGCGCTGCTGCTCTCCCCCACCTTCGATGCCCAGGATCCTAGGCTGACAAGGCTCTCACCGGTCCACCAGGAGGCAACGCGAGAAACGCGGTGACCTCGCGCTCTCACATGCGTTTGCTCTTGTGGAATGCAGAACCGGAAAATAATGCAAGAGGGAGCAACCACGCTTCGTTCCTATTGGTCCATTCCTGACAGTCTTTTCTCTCCCTCTGTCTCGTTCGATCTCCCTGTGAGAGAAGCCAGCCTGCCGGATGCCGGACTACTTTCGTGGAGCCTCCGAAGGGGGTCAATAGCACACCTCACACGCGGAGGGAACCTCTCACGGAAGCGCTCACGACAGAGCTGCCGCCGCGTGGATCCGCAGACGGCAGAGTCGTTTGGAACGTGAGATAGATGATTGATACGATATCAGCAAGCAGTAGCCGTCGCCAACAACAGTGGCATATCGGGCGGCAGTGGCCCCAGCACCAGCACCGGCACCAGCACCAGCACCAAGCGAGCACGAGAGGGCCCCCGGCGGCCGCTGAACTTCGCAACTCGGAACACCGCCCAAGGAAAAGCTGGAGCGAGGCAATAACGCCCGTCCCGGCTCGGACAGAGACCGGGAAACCATGTGCTGTAGGCTATTATTGTCCAGTCAAGGAACGAACCTACTTGAAGTTTTACTGCTGCTGTACATGTGTACCCACGTCCCGTTTCTGCCTAGCCCCAGGCGCCGACGGAGAGAGGCCCTTGTTTTACTGCGATGGTGTGCCAGTGGAGGCGGGATTTGAACCCTACTGATGAAACGAACCTTGTATCCCACGACCATCTATCTGTTGTCAGTTGCACACAGCAGTGCGTGGCTGCCTCCTGATACATCCGATTAAATTTTTGAATGACGTAACTTTTTCTTTCGGAACAACCCATTCTGAGATCACCGCCCCTGTTTCGATTTACCACTCGGGCAAGCTGGCGATCTCACTTCCTGCCAAAACCGCCGTCGATCACATCCAGTGTGTGTATTGTTCTTCACGGGGTGGAGAGACGGGCCCCCATGCCCTGAGTGCGCTCGGGGCAGAATAAGACGGTGTTGGCTGTTGTTGACGAGAGGTCGACACTCGAGCAAGAAGAGGGGAAAACAAATCAACTATTATTCATGTGATCCGTATCGTACGTATGATATGTAGAGGTAAGAGTATAATGCGTACATGCGTACTGCTGTAGTCTAGGTGCCGTGAGCGCTTCTTGGATCTTGAACGCTGTGTTCATCACTTTTGATAGGATGACGAGAGGCACCCGCGCTTGCGTGCGGCAAAATAAACGTCCTCTATCCTCAGCGCATTTATTTCTGGCAGTTACAGAAAGGACTTAGTTAGACTATGTAACATGGGGTTCAACACACTGAGAAGAAATGACAACTGAAGCAACAAAGCTTGTAGTTCTAGGTCCGCGCAGGCTGGCATGATACGTGTGGCGCCCACTGCTGAGGGTGGGGTGGGCAGGTGTGGTCCAGCCAAAGACTATGACTATAAACCAGTTTTTATAGTCATAGTCTTTGGGTCCAGCCAAGCAGGATAGTGGGGGCCCGCTGTTTGGAATTGCCACTATTGTGTGTGTGAGATGGCCAATATGCCACTATTGAGGGCCCCGTCCTCAATAGTGGGGAAGTGCCACTATATCGGGGTGAGATTTTGCCAGGAGATTTTTATGCCACTATATCGGGCATTTCACTATTCAGGTTGCCACTATAAAGGGCTTTGCTGCCGTTCGACTGTGGTCGAATCTCGAATCGGTAGTATTTCTGTGTTTTTATTTATGTTTCCTACTAGTACTGCTGTAGAAGCAAAGGAGCGAGGTTGCAAATTAACAACAAATGGGATACATAAATCGACCCTCAACCAAACTCTGTCTGGAGGACGTAGAGTCCCACGTTCTTGGTCTTGTTGCGGGCACGTCTACAAAAAAATTGTTTGCTACGTACTTTTACTACATTTCACGAATATGTTTTCGAATTGTCATGTACGTAACGGAAGTCATGGACCACGCTGAAACGTTGCAGGATTTCCATGATCCAAACTTCCAAACTGAACAGAAGCGGCAAATACCCATCCCAACGTCCCCCCAATCTCCCGGTGTTTGCCATCGGGGTTGGGTTTTCGTCGCTTGGCAACGACGTTGTAAAACAAGCCGCCCCCCCCGGTGTTTGCCATCGAGGTTTGGGTTTTCGTCGCTTGGCAATGACGTTGTAAAACAAGCCCCCCACTCGGTGTTTGCCATCGGGATTGGGTTTGCGTCGCTTGGCAACGACGTTGTAAAACAAGCCAATTCACTTCGTGAACTCGGCAACCAGGTTACCGTTTTTTTTTTTTTTTACCTCGGTTTTTTTTTTTGGCGGTAACCATAATGGTGGTCGAGTAGATCATGTTGTGCGGGGTCGAGAACCCTCACTCCGCGCAACGGGGGATGATCTGCACCACGTTGTGTTAAAATGGTCAAGCTTCCTCGAGGCAGTTATACAGCTGCTTACAACTGTCTCTGGAAGTGAAAGCACCAGAAAATCTAATTAAGTCATACGTAGCTGTCATCCGTACGCAAGGAAGTAAGCACAAGATGCCGAACACCCTTAGCAGGATGCAGCTCACCCTTCATGCGACTCGCCAAATACCTCACGGCGCTTCGCGCTTGGTGATGTGAGAGCCTGGTCCGGTGAGAACCCGGCGTGCTCCGTCCCGGCTTTGTAGGGATGCGAGGTCAATGGTCAAACGACTACGGCATGCACGACTATGAGTACACCCCCCCCCCCCCCCCCCAACGCCGCCTTGAAGAAACTCCCGAATATGCAGCCCTTCAAATACCCCCGGCCCCCTTTGAAGCGGTCGTCGCTTGATGAAAGCAGTGTGATACCTCTCCTTACTTCCATTTCATGGCGAGGGGCGTTAGCGTGCCACTCTCCATTTTCCTCCCCAATTCGTCGTCACCACAACCTGCCACAGAACATCCACACACGACGGAAACTTCGCGCGCACCCCTACGCATCCTTATGTGCCCTCTCTCACAAGATCCAAATGCACAAAAAAACTAACTACACATGTACAACCCCACCCTTTTCTTGAAAGTTCGCCAAGAACTCAATTCTAAAACTCGGATTTACCCCCAAGAAGCAAGCAAACAGGTCCAGCATCCAATCGAGGAGGATTTACGCATGTCTAAATTAGTAAAACAAGTTTACAACATTTCACAAACTCTCTTCCCACATCCATTGAGAATGGTCGTTCTTGTCAAGGAACGTGCCGACTAGGAAGTACATACGAACAAATCAAATCGCCTCCTTTGTCTTTCCCTTCCTCTTGAGTGAATCACATCCCCATCTGCTTGTTTCTCAGCGAGAGGGTACAAAAAAACATCTACCTAACTAAATAGCGCTTTGATGCATCGTTTCTGAACGGTGCACCGCCGTTGGGGGGGGGGGGGGGGGGGGGGGGGTGTT